TTTTCTAATGGAATTCTTTACGATTGCCGTGTTACAGTGATGTTGATTGGACCAATTGGGCAGATACTCGACGTTTTGTTATCAAATGGTGCATGTTTCTTGGTGATGCTATTATTTCTTGGATGAGTAAAAAGCGAGATCGTGTCTCGAATTCCTCTACCAAATTTGAGTATCGTGCTATGTCCTCGGCCTGTTCGCCAATTGTTTGGATGCGAGGTTTGTTGGGCGAACTTGGTTTTCCTCAACTTGGTCCTACTCCACTTTATGCTGATAACACAAGTGCTATTCAAATTGCTACCCATCCGGTCTTTTATGAACGCACCAAACACATTGAAGTAGATTGTCATTCCATTTGTGAAGCACTTGATCAACATGTGATTACTCTTCCTCATATCTCCACCGAATTGCAAACAGCTGATGTGTTTACTAAGTATCTAATCAACGACATCAATTTATGGTTAGCAAATTGATGTTATTTGATCGATCAACATCAATTTGAGGGGGATGTTAATATACAGTTGCAACTTGATAATTGTACTTGCCTTGTATAAATTGATTCCAGAGTGATTGTAGGGGCTCCTTCGTATAGAGAGATTCTGATTGAATTTTCCCTTGATTATAGGCTGTAATTAGGAATATATCTTGCTATATAATGAGAAGAAACCCTCCATAGCGAGGCATTCAGACCATTTGACAACCATCACCAACAATGTTGTCGTTGAAAATCACTACCAAAAGGATGTCGATGATTGAATACAACCTCAAAGAATGGGACTAAACACTTGGGCAGTGCAAGAGTTGGCAGCTGAGCTTCTGTCTTAACTGATCATATTTCAACAGCGTTGTGAAGAGCACTTGATAGGCACAAATGGAGGCTAAAATAATCAGTAGGCACATAATTTTGCCACAAATATTTTGCGTGTACGAAAATTACAAAGTAACATACTTCATACCTTTCCAACTAAAATGAAATTCACTCGAATTACAAAAGAATGCATCAACAAAAGGCGTTTCAGTACTACAAAAAGATTATCCAAACTATATACACCACACAATAAATATAATGGGAAAATGTCTGATGAAAATCTGTAAACAATGTATTAACTCTATTTGGCAGTTGAGTTACTAAAACCTTAGCTTGGCCACTATTTGTTAGACCACTGGAATTCTATTTCCAAATTCCTTGAAGGTCCACTTTTGCTTTCAGGCAACAGAGTATACTCCCCAGCAACTGCCCCCAACATTACTACACGGTCAATTTGAATGGTTACCTTTCCGAATGAACTCTGCCATTGTGAAAAGGAATAAGTTAGTGGGAAGAAGCAAAGTAAAGATATTACACGAAATATAAATAAATAAATAAATAAAATAATGCAGAACTCATTTACCTTCCCCATTTTGCTCTTGTTCTTGCATGAAATGTGAAGCTTCTGACCTTTAGGAGGACTCTCAAATGTCCATGCAAAGCTCTCATCCCACTCTGGGTTAGGACCAGTTGATATAATCTGGCAGCAAACAAACAGATGCGTGTTAAAGGAGGGTGAAAGACAAACTGCCCACTCGTTCCACATCCAAAAACTGCTTATACAACAGTTTGGTGATTTGAGGAAAAAAATCCACGGTGCCAAATAAACCCTGGCCTGGGAAACATAATATTGTCAGTCCGTTTAGCTTCTATTATGAAAGTGATTGAAGTTTCAAAAATTACCTTGGCGAATTATTTTACGGATTATTTTTTTAGCCACAAATTATCGAATTTTAAGGTCACAGATTAATAATTAGTCCAAATAGTTGGTCACAAGCACCAAACACCCCCGTCACCGATCCTAATCCAGCACCCATCTTGGTCACAAATTACCACCACACAACGATCGCTTGCACCACAATACCGCAACCTCACCACCACCGCTGTAGCCCAAAATTGGCACCACATTCACCATCGCAACCTTATCGCCTAAGCCAGTACCACAACCGCCAACACCACTCTACAACCACTATAAAATCAAATTCATGGCAACGCACAATTCACTGCACCCACAGCACATACCTCCCCAGAAACCACCATGATTGCCACCAAAAACCACCACGATCGCCACCACCAAACACAACAACAATACCCAACTCACAATCTCCACCGCCAACACAATCACCACTAGAAACCACACCAATCATAAAGACAAGAATCACCACCAAACACACACATTAATACACCACCTCCCAACCTCACCAACACCACCCAAATCACCACTGCCAACACGAGCACCGCAGCTACCATCACCACCACGCCGTCCTACTAGATCCCCTGCCCCACCATCACCCTTGGCATAGGCTCGTCAGCACTAACCATCTAGTCCTCTTCTCCTCCAACGAACTCCTAATCATCAAGCTCCGAGCGAGGCCTCTGGACGTCAGCCTGCAATTGCGAGGCCTTCAATTTCACATCATCGTAGTGTTCAGAGTAGTACGCACATGCCGTCGCACGAAATGTGCACAACACCACATCCACGTTTGTCACCATCCCCAAAATGACTGGAGCGCGAACTCCCACGCAGTGTCGCTATTGCAG